ACTTTGGGTATGATCTCCCCACCCTATACTTATCTAGTTATCTATGTTAATTGAATACCCTCCACTTTATCTAATTGAGCAGTTAATACTCTATCATGTAAATAACAATTAACACTCCGTATTTCGCAACATAACTTTGCCAGTTTGCCGCATAGACCCAGGTGACAGAAAATCAACATTGTCAAAGTTCCAAAAGCAAAATATTTCTCAATTGGCTCATTTCCATGTTACAGCAAGATTAAAATCCTAATCTATCAACGTTCCAGCATGTCAAAGGCTCAAAGCCTGGGTGGGTTACCACCAATAGTACTTGACGCGAAGAAGCAGATTCCCCCTTTCGATCTCAGAAAGGATATGTCAGATACTATGATAGGATGTTGGTATTGACGGCCGCCCCGAAGACCTTCATTACTTTGAGGCGTGAATCTCAAACAACAAATTAAACTCAGTTGTTTTTGGTGACATATTCATCTTCTTCTCCATCCTGTGTAAACTCATGACAGAAGGTTTTGAAATTTCCATAGATTTTCCCAAATTCGAAGCGTGGTTGTGCAGTATTTCTACAAATGGGAAATACGTACATGCTTAGGCGGAAAGAAAATTGCAGCTTGACATTTCCTTGGCCGGTTAATATTACATGGGGTATTAGCATCTCTACTTTTATTTAGTAGGGGATATTTTTTAAATCTTGACAAGTATGAGGTGGGAATCTCACACTTACCCAAAGTTGAGGGTATTTTATTTATTATTCCCCTTATATTTTTATGTCAATTTAGACATTTTTTTGGTTCTCCATTTCTTTTGTGGCAAGATCATAACGGAAGAGGAGTGTCAATGTCAATTTGATCAAAGATTAAAGCTGGGGAATTCTGAAGTCGATGACTAAAAATGTGTCTTCCATAATAGCTGAAGAACAAAAAATGAAAATATGAAAATCAAGTATAAAAAATGTCACTAACACAATGATCGAAAAACTAAAAATGACAAAAACTATTTTCCTATTTTACAATTACGACTTACAGTACTAAATACTCTGTCGTGTGTTGCACTAGAATAAACTGCAAAAATTGATAATATAATTGAATATATGTAATTACAAAGAAAGGAACATGTCATTTCTTTTTGACATTTTTCAATCTGTTTTTTGTCCAGATAACTTTCCATCTCCGTCGAATCTTAAACAACGAAAGATGATGGCGAGGTGAGGAATGTGGAGATGATCGACAATACGGAAGATGGTGAAGACGAAAGACGACGATGATGGGGATGACACAAATCGGGGAACGGGCAACATGAAAAAATGATGAAAATGGAAGGTAATGAAAATGTTGAGAATGAAAGAATGAATGAATGTAGGGAGAGATGGGAGAGAGAAAGAAATACTGCATTCGTCTAACTAGTATTGGGATATAAGCAGGTGGTGCGATTATTAAGAAAAATGATTTTATGTGAATCATATTGATGTAATAAAGTAAGAATAAAGTAATAATGATTTTGATTTCGAACAACACAAATATTATCAAATTTAATACAAGACAATTAGGCATGGCAATTGGTCGGGGCGGATCGGGTACTGCAAGACCCGGACCCACCCCGTGACTTCACTGGGTGGACCTGCCCCGCCCCGTCGTAACCGAATTAGCTAGTATGCATTTCTATTTTTGTGAAGTTGTTACCACTTGAATCTACATAAAGTTTATCTAAATAATTATTAAAAGAAATAATATATTAAATCAAAGTCGCGATACACTAAAAATTTCAAAATTTTAAAAATATTACTTATACTGAAATATTTAATCTATTTATATTACTTAAAATGTTATATATATAAAAGACATTGATAATCCATCGTTCATCTCATTCAAATTTAAATATTAATATATTATAAGACCAACGAATTTATGATTTATTATATACACACATGTATGTGGAAGTATATTCGTAATATAATTTAAAAAAAAAGCATGTATACTTATATACTGAGCGGGGCAGGACGATACAGGTCAATACTAATACCCGGATCCGTCCCATTGTATGGGCGGGGCGGGGTGGACCCGCCCCATTTGTAAGACGGGGGCAGGGAGGACCCGCCCCAAATGTCTCGGGCCAGGTCAGGTCATTGCGGGGCGGTTTGTTTTGACATGCCTAGAGACAATCTTATTGAACTGATCGAAAATGAAAAACAAAAGGAAAAATAAATAAAATACCCCAAACTTTGAAGGGGTGTGAGATGAACACCCCAAACTTGCATATGTAATTTAAATACTCCAAATTTTATATAAAAAATTATTTTAGCACCATAGTTAAGTATTATTTCTTTTTAAAATGTAAGTTTATGAGTAAATTAGACGTAATGAATAAGATGCTCAAGAAATTTCATCAAGGACTTATTGATGTAAGTTCGAGGGCCTGTTTGACAGACTTACAATGTTTGGCATACACCTTTTCAATAATCGATACTCCTTGGTCCATATTATACATATAGGACACATTTACTTCACGGGTTACTAAACGATGCTTATTAAGACCCGCGTTAATAAGCGGCGCATAAAATAAGCAATGTTGTAAGATCATGTTTACTTCAAAGGGGTTAAAACACCGTTTAACATCAAAATGTCCAAAATAACCCTATACATATATAGACGCACAAACATTCATGAACACAAGTATATAATATAATATGTGGGTCACCTCGTACGTGTACCCATACCACTAACCCCTTACCCCGCCCTATACCCCACACACGTACCCTCCACCCCTACCCCCAATTCCACACCCTTGACCCCTACCCTATCACCACGATAGGGGGTGGAGGGGGTGGGACGACGGTAGGGTGGGGTAAGTCGAGGTAGGGGCATGGCTAGGGGTGGGGATCGAGGTGGGGCTGAGGTAGGGACAAGTGGTAGGGAGTGGGGTAGGGTTGTGGTTAGGGGTAAGGGTGGGGGATGGTGGGTAGGCTGGGGTCGGGGTCGAGGTAAGGTACAGTAAGGGGTAGGGCTTAGACCTGTACAAAACCGGGCCGGCCCGCCCGCACAAATTAGCGGGCTTGGACATATATATTTACCCACCGGCCCAGCCCGGGCCCGGCCCGCAACAACATATGGGCGGGCTTGGGTTAGGGTGTAGGCCCGTTCGGGCCGATAAGCCCGGCCCGCTACATTTAGTATATATACATATATATTTTTATATATACTAATTTGTGTATTTATTTACATGTACACTTGTATATTTTCATATTTACTAATTTATATGTATACATATTTATAGTTTATTATGTTTAAATTTAAGTTTTTAGTTCTTAACAAATAGTCCAACCAATATAATATCTATTTTTGTACTTAAAGATAATACTTTGTGCTTGAATTTTAAATTTTAGATATAGTTTCTCATTATTATTTTTGTGTAAATATTTTTTGTGTATGTGATGAAAGGCCTATATACATTATAAGCGTATTAGCAATTTTTAAAATGTTGTAATATTATTTATAAAGTATTAAATAAATTACATAATTTTGAAAAAATTTAAAATTTTACCGGGCCCGGCGGCCCGGCGGACTACCCGGTCCGCTCTTACGGGCGGGTATGGACATGGGGTTAGGCCCGTTTTTGCGGGCCAGGCCCGCCTACACACGATGGGCAGAAAACTTATGGAAAGCCCGGCCCGAGCCCGGCCCGAACCCGCTTTTGTGCAGGTCTAGTAGGGCTGGATGATATGGGGTCGGGGTAAGGTAGGGTAAGGATAGAGTAGTATGGCGGTGGGGTGGGGTCGGGGTGGGGCCGAGGTAGGAGCATGTGGTAGTGGGGTAGGGTGGGGCCGAGGTAGGAGCATGTGGTAGTGGGGTAGGGTGGGGTCGGGGTAAGGTAAGGTGGGGTAGGGGTAGATGGCGATAGGGGTGGGGTCAGGATTGGGGTGGGGCCGAGGTAGGGATAGGTAGGGGTAAGGGGGTAGGGCAGGGTGGGTCGGGGTAAGGTAGGGTAGGGTGTAGTGGAGGGTAGGCGTAAGGGGTAAAGTACGAGAATGGAGGTAGTGGGTTGGGTGGAGTCGGGGTCATGGTAGTAGGGTTTGGGCGGGGCGGGGGTGGCGGGAAGAGGGGTAACAATAGGGTAAGTGCAAGAGGTAAATTCGGAAACTGAAAAAGCTTTAAGTGCCGCTTAATTAATACATGAGGGGTGGTATGCTTAGTAAGCGGCACTTTAGGCACCTCGTGCGTGTTTAGTTCACTTGTCATACTACTCCCTCCGTCCCGTTGGAATGTTCCAGCTTTCCTTTTTTGGATGTTCCAAAAAGAAGTTCCCATTTTCCTAAATGGAAAGTTATCATACATCAAAACAGTGTCAAATAGTGCAAAACAGTGCCAAATAGTGTCCAAACAGTGTCAAAACAATAAAATTTATCCTTTGTTAAATTTATTTTCTTAATATGTGTAGGTCAAACGGAGGGAGTATTTACTAACGGGATAAGGGTCAGTTTGGTCCTCGAAGTTGCAAAAAAGGGGTCAAATAAGTCCTTATATAGAAAATTCTGTTCGGACGTGCCATTTGAGGTGGCTCCCGGTGGAATTTTTTGATGAAATTTTTTTAGAATCTTATTCATTAAGTCTAGTTTACTCATACCAAATTTCAAATAAAAATTCAATCGGGAAGACATTCAAATGAATTCTTGAAGATAATTGTGCCGTTAAAAGCGCAGTTATCTTCAAGAATTCATTTGAATGTCTTCCCGATTGAATTGTTAGCTGAAATTTGGTATGAGTAAACTAGACTTAATGAATAAGATGCTCAAAAAATTTCATCAAAAAATTCTATCGGGAGCCACCTCAAATGGCACGTCCGAACAGAATCTTCTATATAAGAACTTATTTGACCCTTTTTTGCAACTTCGAGGACCAAACTGACCCTTTACTCATTTACTAACCTAAGTGTGATTTTTTTTAAAGGACGTAACTGTGTGACTTTAGGCCGAAGTAAACACCTCACATTTATACTGAGGATAAATTGTCAAGCTTACACTTTTTGTATGAGATCAAAATTTTGATCTCGTGAGTCCTAGAGGTCGGTTTCCCGCCTACTACGAGCCGTCTGAGCTATGGTAAGTGCCGGCGGGAAGAAGGTAGATAATGCTTCTAAGCTGGCGAACCCAGAAGTGGAGGAGCAGAGGAGGTTGAAGAAGCTGGCTTTCTCGAAAGGGATGCTTTCGGAAACACCTCTGGAGGCGGCTGCGGCTAGGAATGCTCTGCACCCATCACAGACGGTGATCAAACACCATGGAAAAGATATAATTCGAAAGTCCCAGCGAAGCAGAAATCGTTTTCTCTTCTCGTTCCCGGGGCTCCTTGCCCCCGTTTCTGGCGGCAAAATCGGCGAGCTTAAAGATCTTGGTACCAAAAACCCTATCCTGTATCTAGATTTTCCTCAGGTAAGATGTTATGTTTCCAAACATGCAAATTTGCACCTAGTTACTATTAAAACTTCTCAGTTTGCCCACACATGCATTTGTTTCTAGAGTGCTCAAATACAAATATGAGGTTATATACAATATTACAATCACTGTAGTTAGTGATTTATTTTTTTACATTTTTAAGTTTTTGGCCTTAGTGTCTAATGAGAGGAATTTCATTATTTCAGTCCGATTGATGTGTGGATACCTGTAGGCACAAAGGAAAGGACAACACTTCACAATTGATACCTTAAAAATTGTTTATTTGAATTACTTTAGGTCAAGGTCTCTCATTTAACCATCTTGAGGAGCAGTGGTTAACATTATGGATATGAACCAATCTTTTCATAAAACAAATTAATTCAAGAATTTAGGTTTTTTACGAACTCTTTCATTTTAATTTTCATTTGTTTGATTGGGGAACAAGTTCATAATTGTGCTTATTTTCGGACATGCAGGGACAAATGAAGTTGTTTGGGACTATTGTTTATCCAAAGAACATGTATTTAAGTCTGCAGTTTTCCAGAGGCGGGAAGAGTGTCATATGTGACGATTACTTTAATAACATGGTATGCTTTTGCACTCTTGCTGGAAGTATCTGGTTCCCGTGTTCCACATTACCTATTAATTAGAATTATGGGAAATTGTGACATTTTGAACCTTTCTTTTTTCCATCCCAACTATACCAAACAGTTGTAATCATGCATGTTATCAGTTACTCCGTATCACTTATCACACTCATAATTATGAACAAACAGACTTTTCAAAATTATCATGCTATTTATACATTTCTATCTCAATTATCCTGTTGGAGAAAATACAAAGAAGGTCTGCTGGTAATGAATGCCTGTTTATTATTTGAGTTTCATGCATGGGTACAGGGTGCTTATGCTATGGTTGAACAAATTAAATTTATTGAAACTAGTTACTTTTTCAGCTCCTTTTTTTCCCTGTAATTTGGTTGACTTATTGCTATATTTTGTTTTCTAGATTGTGTTTTCTGATGCGTGGTGGATAGGGAGGAAAGATGAGAATCCAGAAGAGTTGCGTCTGGAGTTCCCAAAGGAGCTGAATGTGGTCAGTTTTCTCTTAAACATGTGCTCTCTATTGCTGCCATGTGTTGTTGACATTATTGATGATATTTGTTTGCCCCAGCACCAAAATATGGAGCATAATTTCAAAGGTGGTGCTGGCGCAGCATGGGATGGAAAACAAAGGATTATAAAATCTGGGACAAGATTTGTGGAACATGAATCTCCTAAACTTGAAGATGAAGATGAAGATGATACTACAGAAGATCAGAGCTGTGCTAAAGAACACATTGATATTACTCCAACTCGGCATTCAGCTAGGACAGTTGGAAAGACATTCAAGTAATTTCTAAATTAGTTTCAAATTAGAGTTTCTAGTATTGGCATGTACATTTTCTTGTAACAACTAATCCCAGGCTCCTACCACGTTTTTTTTAAATACAGAAGTGATAAAAGTGCAAGTAATCGCCACAACCCTTACGAAAAATTATTTACAAATTATAGTATTGATATGTATGATGATGTAATGATGTTCATGTTCCTTGCAACTCCTAATCCCAGCATGTCTGTCTCTCTCTCTCTAAACGTTTTTGAAAGTGAAAAGAAGTAAAGGGTGTTACCTCAGCACTAGTATAACTTGTCTATTTGTATGACTGCATGAAGTGAAGGAATTTTATGAACTTCTTTGAATGCCACACCAAGCAATAAGTAAATAATACTGTAAGTTATAAATGAGAACTCATTTGGTCGTAGTAGTCTACTGGCAATGACAGAATTGGAAGGCCAACTCTATATATAGAATGCTTTAGTTGATATTTTAACCTTAAATTTGCATATTATGTTTCCTGGTTACTAGAATTGCTTCTGTCAGGAATGAAAAACATTTTTATACAGATATATAGTAGTCACTCCTAAAAGGGGCAGTCCAGTGCACATTGGTGTCCCCGCAAGGTGAGGTTCCGGGGAAGGGTCCCACCACTAGGGTGCATAAGGAACCCGTGACCTCTCGGTCATTTGACAAGAGGCTGCTCCCAAGACTTGAACCCGTGACCTCTCGGTCACACAGCAACACCGTAACCGATGTGCCAAGGCTCCCCTCCATAGTAGTCACTCCTTTCAAATTAAATTAGATGAAAACTCATCAAAGATAAATTTAGTTGTACTTGAGACCATAAGTAATGTGATTTTTGTCTTTTCTATTTGTTAAGACTTAGGAGTTGATAGTGTAGTTGATGATTACTGTCAGCATTTGACTTGAAAGGGTGGCAGTTTTGCAGATGTTTCTTCTGAGGACAATTTCACCGTGAATGATGCTGAAACTTCTAATGAAGAAGAAGTGAAGGTCAGTTTCATTTTCATTTTCATTTACCCCGGTGCCGCAAAGGCTCCCACCTACGGTGGGGTAAGGGGGGGTCGGACGTACGCAGTCTTACAGATGACTGTTTCCGGATGACCCATAGTGAAAATCGCGTCCAAAATTGCATGGACTGCTTCATAAAGAAGTGAAGGTCAGTGTTAATAATTAAACTAAAACATTACTATAAAGAATGTCCTTGATGAGATAACTACAGAGTAACGACTAAACAGTTTATTTCCCCTTTACATAGTTTCTGCTGCAAAACTGTTGCCTTTTCCTTGTATGGTGGTAGTGTGGTACCTAACTCATTTATCTTTCAGTTACTTTCTCTGTGGTAAATTATTAGTGAGGACATTTTGTAGTTCATGGCTTGACTCGTGTGAATCACAATCCAGTTTCTATTTATACTTAATTTAGTGAAAGTAATTAGTAATTACTAATTACAATCCCATATTCAAAACCTATGCTACACGTTCTATTGGACCCCAAAAACTAAATTCAAATGCAATACAGTTTGGTGCAAAAAATAAGTTAATAAAGAAGAGTTAGTTTGACCACATGAGTAGTTAATGAGACACATAAAATCAAACTTCTCTTAAAGTCCATCCGTTCTAAAATGAATGTCTTGTTTTCCTTTTTGGGCTGTCTCAAAATAAATGTCTTGTTTCCTTCTCTTGGCAAAAAATATGTGGTTCTTATCGTTTCACACTTTTCTACTCTAATCTCAACCACACCTTTCACTATTCAACTACTTTATTAATAGTAGTGCCAAACTCAAACAAGACAATTAACTCGGGACAGAGGGAGTATTTCCCCTGCTCCTTTTCCTGTCCTCATCCACCACTTCCTCTCTAGAGAAAGGAGGAAAAAAGCATAATAAACAAAAAGTAATATGCACAAGTCTTCTACTCATGTGATAATCTGATGTGTGATCTATACAGGAAGAAAAAGTGCACGCTTCAGTCCTCGATGTTGACAATGAGGAAACAGTTATTTTAGATCTATCTGCTGATAAGAATAATTCTGGTGCAAAAGTACCCTCTGCATCCAAGGAGCCCACTCGCACTAGTCAGGGTTCCCTTATTCAAGCATCTATATCTAATATGTTCAAGAAAATGGGGGAGAAGGTATTGACTCTTAGAGTCTCAGCTTCATCCATAAATCCAAATATATACAGTATTATACACACACTCTATCGACACACATAATATTTGTATGTATGTACACACATTACACACATGTATATAATTATGACTTTTTATCATCTCCAAGTCTTCAACTATGCAACATGGTTGCTAAACTAAAACTGTTTGATGTCTGAGATTCATACCTTAGACAAGAACTGCAGAGTGTTAATACATTTCTGAAGTTCATGTTTACTATGGAATATATGCATTTCCATTTAATACTATCACCGAATTGTATATGTTTATCTTTTAAAACAATGATGGTTGTGAAAATAAAACTGCATGCATTTTGCATATTCATATCTAGACTGAAACTATTAAATTTAATAGTTCAATTGTGTAATCATCTGAGTAATTACTATCCACAGTATATTCAAAGTGTACAGTGAGCCCTATTATAATGTAAAGAATACTAGTGTAGGTCAACTCTAAAAGATTTGAATATTAAATATAGAGCTAATCTCTACATTTCTTCAAATGTCTCCCCAAATTGATTTAATTTTCTCCAAATCTCTCCCCAATTTTTTCAAACACCCCAAGCTAGTGCATAGATATTAATCATTCATTCACGCCTGACATGTTACAAATATTCTCGACCCCAATTTGTCTGAGCCCTTTTGTATATAAATCTTCCAGTTCACCACTTCGGTCATGCACGGTACATAGTAACACACGAGCTACCGAACTGCTCTACTATAAAACCTGAAAACTATCAAAACTAATACACAAAACAGACTAGTAGAGAATCAAGGATTGGAAATGATTTATGTTTGTGACAAGGGATTTAGTGGATCTATTTATATTTAATATAAGGTTCTTACAAGATAATTCCTCCACTCTTAAATAAGTGCCACAGTCAACTTTTCACATTTACCGAGACACAACTTTGACCATTAATATATACTCCCTCCTTCCCCCTAACTTTGTCCCGTTTTACCTTTTCGTCCGTCCCATACCATATTTGGTAATATTTGAGTGGTTAGAATTCAGTCTCACTTTATTCACACTTTATTAATTCAATATCAACCACACAATTCTACTTTTCTTAAAATCCACACCACACCCCTTTGTCCCAAACTTAGGGGGACGGAGGCAGTATAATTCTCTATTAGTATTTTTTTTAAATAATGTAGATTTTGAAAATTTACAATGAGACAAATTCAACAATATTGTTTCAAGAAATATATTAATTCATTAATAAATAAAACATAGTCAAAGCAGAGCATGTGAATAGTGTAAAATCCAACATGTTGCACTTATTTAAGAACGGAGGCAGTACGTCAATGTCGAAAAAGTTTTTGAAAAGGCAAGTCATCATAAGTAGTTGTTAGGTAGTTAAACATACAAGTGTACAATGGGATCATAATACACAATATGTTGCGCTTCGGTAAGTATGCGCAGAACAGTTGCATGTGAGATGCAGAAAACAGAGACACCTGGGATCTTATTGTCAAACTAGTCTTTGATGTGTATGGTAGTTAACTAGTTAAGTTTATGGTGAATTATAGGAATTGATGTCTTTTTCGATTTGAAAGAAAACCAGTGATGTACATTAGAGGAACTGATTTCTTCTATAAGTTTCTGTGGGTCATCATCATATGACCATACAAATTATGAGTCACATAACTGTTTTGACGTGAACTATATTTTTCTGCCTAATGTACTGTTCTTTTCTTTCCTTCCACGTGCATTAACATTCATCGATCCATTTACAGATTGCAAAGTCTACTGATCCTGCGAAAGTGTACAGTAAAATAAATGATAGTGTCTCTGATATATCAGCACAAAGGAGAGGGAAAACCAGAAGTCTATTGGATCAAAATTCATCTGGTCTCATTGATTCTTCTGAGGTCAGTATCTTGGCTATCAGCAAAGTCATATATCGCTACTGTGTGTTTGTCTAGTTGAGTAGTTGTTACTGTTAAACCTTATGTTTTAGCTCCTGCTTTATGGAGGCTAGTCTGATAGGTACTAAATGGTTGTTTCAAGAATCAACTACCTTTTACAAATTGGCTTCTGATGCATACTTTAAGGATAGTTTTGTAGAATTCATCAATGGCTACATGCAAGTATTATGGACATTTCTGATCACAAAGGATGACCACACTAAGTGATTAACATATGTATGTCCTTTTCAGTTATGGATCTTATGGTACATTTCAGTGTTTGTATGAAATTCTTAATCTATCCCAGAGTCTCATCAGAGTTTTGGAAAACTGCGATATTTATAATTTAAATGGAGAGTCTTCTTCTAAGTTCAATTCATTGTGGTCAGACTGTCAGAGTCTAGTGTGGCTAGATAAGTTCTGCAATTAGTACTCCCTCTATCCCAAAAAACTTCTAGTTGGCTAAGGTATGACAACTTAAAATCACAATTTCCTACTCATTTTTCAAAATATATACTCCGTATGTCTTTTTAACTACCTTTTTATATTAGACTTGTTCATAACTCCTTTTGGAAAATACCTTAAAGTTTTAGCTTCGACTGACGAAAAGGGACACTTAGAAGCAAAAAAGTTTTGGGAATATGATTTCTCTTGGGTACCAAGCGAGTATATCATGGCACAAAGCTCTATTTTAGCAGAACCTTTAATACTCTGCAGAACATGAAGTAATTTTATTTTTGATATACTCTGCAGTCTGAAGATGAAGAGATTGAAGAGTTCTCTAGTTCAGCTCAGGTTAACTACGTTTTTACATTTTATGGAGTAATAGCATAATGGCATGTATTTGCTTCTTAGGCTAACCACAACCGTCTCCTTAAATAACTCAAATTCCCCACCAGTTTGTACCTATATACGGAGAACAAAACAGGCTGTAGATTGTATTGAAGGGAGAATTTAATTGGATTTCATTATCTTGTAATGCATTTGGCTTATGAAGGGGAGCCTCCACTACTCATTTTCTGGCCTTGAGATTGGAAATTAAAAGTTAAACTGTGCATCTCCATTTCCCTTTTTGTGGCATCTAGCTTAAAATGTGTGTCGGTATATATATACATGTATGATGTATAAGTCACTACTCCTTAATTGATACTGAATTTCTTGGGAGCTTCTACTGATCTAAAAATAGTTTGAAGTGTGGTGGTGATGATCTCCATCTAACTTTCTTTGAAAAGTTCACTGGAAATGACAAATTTACTATGTCATTGCCATTGTCTACTTTCACCTTTGAGCAGTGGCCATTTCTTGTCTCAGCTTTCTCATCATGAAAGGAAAACAACCTTCGAATTGTATGTTGGGTGATGGAACTACTCTTAGTCTCTTACTCTCCATTTATTGAAAAATGTTTGTTTGATACTTCATAACATACGAAGTATTAGTTTTCCGCTTCTTCTCTTTATTATCATTTCACCACAATGGGACAAAACCTTTTTTCTTTTCCTCAATTTTTGTTCCCTCATTTTTACCCATACAGACACATGAATGTGTGGCTTATGGAGCCCACATACTCATTCTTGCAAGATTAATAAATGCATAACTACATGCATTATTCTTAACGTTTATGCGGTCAAACAATTTAACAATATTAATTTTGTTTTAGTTTAGTGATGGTAACTCTAATCTAATATGTACAGGATATGGATGAAAGTGATGAAGATTGGACCGCCTGAGGTTTTTCTGCCAACATATGTGCTAAGCAGTAGTTTAGGGGCTGTATATATGGGCTCCTTACAGAAGAATAGTTATTAGTCTAAAATATATGTGCTTTCAAGGCTGTGTAGACATCTTATTTTTTTAGAACTCGTGATCACACTTAAATATGAGTTTTCATGAAATCCTTTTTGTGATTTCAATCCAGCATCAAAGCTCTAGGATTTTAAGTCATTTGGAGGATAGAAAAACAAATCCTGAACTATATGTTTGACATTTTATAGCACTTCTGCTCAAAGTGAAATGTTTGGCACGTCTTTATTCCATTAAATGGAGTTTTTCCTTAGGAAGGATACTTTTAAATATTACGTAGTATTTCCCAATTAGGGGTAATTTTGAACTAATTTACCAAGGGCATTTTTGTCTTGTCATGGAAGTGTTGCTGCTGTTTATTATAAAGATTACATTGTCATCGCATGGAGCCACCTAGCACAATTGCCATTACAGGAGAATCAAATTCAATTTTGTGTTTGAGGTGGGAATAAACTTTCCCGACTTTTTTACAGCATTTATTTAAGCTTATAAGTAAAACCTTTGGCTCATCTATACATTTATATCGAGTTTTTTCCTTACAAGGGCACCTTTAATGTTATTTTTTTCCTTTCAAAAGGGCACCTTACAAGTTAAAGTTTAACTTGGTCACGAATGACGAAGTGAATGGAAATTGAAAAGGGAGAAAACATGATAGAAAAGAGAGATCTCTTGCAGGATATAGCCGTTGAGGTTGGTGTTGGATAAGGAATTTGAGTAACTATGTATCAAGACTCAAGAGTTGGATGAAAGGAGATGACAGATTTCATGAGTGAGACACAATATGAATTTGGATCTTGAGATACTTGCGTAGTTGCAAGATAGAAGTGCGGAAAGGGTGATTTCAGAGGACTTAGAGGCCAACCCAAACTCACTAGGAATCAGAGTGATTGAGAATTAGATGAAAACAGGGGTGATTTCTATTCTATTTGTTACAGTGAGGAGTAGGGATGGGCTGGGTTTAGTTGGGCTGGGTGTTTTTGAGGGGTTTGGGGGGTGGGGGATAGGGGGGGGGGGGGGTTGGAATAAATAAGTAAACTTAAAAAAAAAAAATTGAACCGGCCCGGCTCGGAACCGGTGGACTCCCGGGCCGGTCCTGGGCCTTACCCAAAAAAATCTAAGCCCGGCCGGGCCCAGGCCCGAACCGGAACCGGACCGGGCCCGGTCCACCCCTAGTGAGGAGACGGAAAACAGGACCAAAAACTTTGACAACGGGAGATAGGTGCTTTAAATAAACAAGGATATAAAAGTGGCTAGGTTGTCATTGTTTTTTCATCCCCTTAGGTATATAACACTATTTTCTCTTAGACAACGTGAGATAGGGTGATTTCTGCCTCAGGTTGGGCAGCGCCGTTTCTCTTGGAGAATCACATGCTGGTGGTTTTCATCCTACAACGTTTATATTCCTAATCAACGGGAATGGTTTTCAAACATGCTTAAACATACAAAATTTATGGCGGGGGGTGTACGGGATCGATACAATCTGTGTACAAGTAAGTGAGTGAAAGCCGGTATGTAACAAATATTTCATTCCTAAAACCATCAAAATAAGGTGATGCCATATAACTGGCCTTGCCATTTTCTTAACCTTAAGGTAAACATCAGTGAGAGAGGCAAGAATGGCACACTGTATACAATATCATAAAAAGAAAAATAGGTTACATACTTCTTAAACAAGTCAAACCCCGGCCCTCTGATGAGAATAAAATAACTCCAGTTCCATGGTAATTTATCAACCTCAGGGAGGGATGTTGATCTATTTTTTTTATGCACAAGACACACCCATTAATAAGTATCTTACTTCATCTTGGAGGACAGTTTTTGCTTCTATTGAGTATGATTTGGTAGCAATGAAACCCGACCATATACACACTGTCTTCTCTCAGAGTTGAATGTGAAGATCCCATAGTATTGATGTAGTCCATCTAACAAGTTTGACAACCCAATGCTTGTTAAGTTTTCTAGAATTGAGGCTAAGCTTCAAGTCCTTGCATATGAGCATTTCCTGTAATTAGCTGCCTTGCAGGCCCAGTCAATGCTATTCCAGGTAGCTAGTAAGCTAATTAATTGTTTTATTTAAATGAACGCTGATGAATTGTTTTGCACTTTACTGTGGATAATTTGTTGTTTTGCACGCGCATTGGTGCTATCGGGATGAAGGATTTTGGCCAACCCCTTCTCATGCGCAAGCAATACCGTGAGATAGATTAGGCAGAATTTATCTCTTCCTCTATGAAAGCTTAAATTACAATCAATCTAGGTTTTCTACTTCATGGTCAATTTACAATTTATTTTTTTCATCTACAAAGAAACTTCTTTGTTTGAAAAAAATTGCAACTCACGCTAGGTGTCTTATGCCTTCAATTTGAGTGATATGAATTTTAAATTCCAGTGACACAAACTTATATTACATGCACACATTTTAAATATACTTATTTACACAAAGCATAACATAAGAGCACTGGCATTATGTTTCTTCGATTTTTGTAAATTACATTTTATTAAATCTAATAAAGTTGAGTTTTCCCCAATTAATGCTAATTAAATAAATAATTTTAAATATATGTTTGAATTACAAATAATTCTCAAAATACTGCTAGATAGGAATCCTAGTTTTTTTTAAAGGGATAGAAACCCTAGTTAAACAAAGTTGCCACATATTAGAAAATGAAATGCAGACTGAATAGGAATGAATCGATCTTATTAATCTCAAGGTAGTTTACAAGTATTTATAGTACAGAGTATAGAAGCAGATTACTAACTAACTGAGTTAGCTATAACAGACTAACAACTTGTAACAATACTTTTCAAGTATTCGTATACTACTCCTAACATTCCCCCCTCAAATTTAGGGTGATTGATTTGGAAAATCAGTCACACTAAGTTTGGATCTGAATTCAAGGAAAGATGAAGAAGATAATGGCTTTGTGAGAACATCTGCAATCTGTTGAGGAGCTGGAATGTGAAAAACTTCAAGTTGCTTGGACTGAACCTTTTCCCTGACAAAAAAGAGATCAATCTCCATGTGTTTGATACGAGTAGTAAATGGTACTTGAAGTTCTTTAAGGAGAAACTGAATCCACAAAAGTTCAGAAGATGTGTCTGCTAAGCTTCTATACTCAGCCTCTGCTGAGGACCTTGCCACTTTTAATTGTTTCTTTGACCACCAAGATATGATGTTTGGACCAAGAAAGATACAAGAGCCAGATGTGGACTTTCTATCAACAGGATCAGAAGCCCAATCAGCATCACAGAATGTTGAAATGGGTAAAGGAACCTTTCTCAGGGGAATAGGTTTAATAAGAAGACCATGGGTGAGAGTACCAGACAAGTATCTAAGAATATGCTTAACAACCTTCCAATGATCTTGTAAAGGTGTGGCCATAAATTGACAAACTTTATTCACAGCATAGCTAATTTCAGGTCTAGTCAAGGTAGCATACTGTAAGGTTCCAACTATGGATCTGTAGGTAGATGGATCAGGGATAGGATCACTTCCAGTGTTTGTGAGTTTGCAGGTACTGATCATGGGTGTTTGGACTCCTTTAGAATCAAGCATGCCAACTTTGTGTAGTAAGTCCCTCAGATATTTGGTTTGAGAAAGATGCAGATTGCCATTCCTTAGTTTTCTGACCTCAATGCCAAGAAAGAAGTCAATTTCCCCCAGATGTTTGAGAGAGAAAGAGGTGTGGAGTTTGCTGATAAGATTTTGAACTGCTGTGGAGTTATTTCCAATAACCAAGATGTCATCTACATAAATGAGAATGTAGATTTGGATGTCAGGAGATAGAAAAAGAAGTAGAGAAGGATCACAGGTAATCTGTTTAAAACCAGCTGCATAAAGAACAGAAGTTAGCTTATGAAACCATGCTCTAGGTGCCTGCTTTAGACCATACAAGGACTTATGGAGTTTGCAGACAAGAGAAGTATCTTTAGATTGAAACCCAGGGGGTTGAACCATGTAAACCTCTTCATCAAGAGTCCCATTCAGGAAAGCATTGTTTATATCAAGCTGTTGAACAGGCCAGTTGTGAGACACAACCAAAGTAAGAAGTATTCTGATAGTTACAGGCTTAACAACAGGTGAAAAGGTTTCATTGAAGTCAAAGCCAAACCTTTGATGAAAGCCCTTAGCCACTAATCTGGCTTTGAATCTATTCAGAGACCCATCAGGATTCTCTTTCACCCTGAAAACCCACTTACAGCCAATAGCTTGCTTGTCAGGAGGTAGGGGAACCAAGGACCATGTTTTATTTTCCATTAGAGCATTATATTCAGTCTGCATAGCATTAAACCACTGAGGAGATGAAAGAGCCTGCTTAACTGATTTGGGCTCAGTATGAGTCAACAGCAAGGTAGGATTGAGTCTAGGTTTTACAATTCCTGATTTAGCCCTAGTTTGCATAGGATGAGTATTAACAAGAGGAGGAGGCATAGAAGATGAAGATGAGAAGGAAGATGAATTAGAAGATTGTTGAGAGGGCTGTACTTCAGTCTGAGTAGGAGGAGAATGTGAGGATTGATGTGAAGTATGAGAAGGAAGATGACTTGATGAATTCTGTGAAGGGGAAGAGAAAGATGACATGGGTGGATCATTGTTCTGAAAGGTATTAGATGTTGAATCACTGTGAGTAGATACAAATGAGTCAGAGGAATTGTCTGGTGGAGGAGAATGTAATACAGTCAAAGGAGTTGAAACTGATGGTGCAGGATGTGATAGACTTGTGGTCTGAGATGGAAAGAGGGTGGGATAGGGGAACTTGGATTCATGAAAGGTAACATCCCTGGAAATATAGACTTTTCCAGACTTAGACAGACACTTGTAACCTTTGTGTTGGGAAGAGTAACCAATGAAAATGCATTCCTCAGAATGAAAGTCCATCTTGTGTTTGTTATAAGGTCTGATAAAGGGGTAGCAAGAGCAGCCAAAAACCCTAAGAAAGTTGTAGTCAGGAATTGAACCATAAAGTTTGAAGTAGGGGCTGGAATTGGCAATGGATTTTGATGGTGTCCTATTGATAAGGTGAACTGAGGTTGCAAAGGCAGTATCCCAAAATTTAAATGGCAAAGAAGAGTGAGCAAGTAATGACAGACCTTTTTCAACAATTGTTCTATGTTTTCTCTCAACAACACCATTTTGATGGTGTGTGTGAGGGCAGATTATTCTGTGGGTGATTCCTTTTTCTGTGAGAAAGTTTGTGAATGATCTAAATTCCCCTCCCCAGTCAGACTGAACAGACTTAATTGATGCAGAGAACTGGTTTAGAACATATTGATGAAAGTTTTGGAAGGCAATAAGGGCATCAGATT